GTCCTGCAGGGGCCTAGTGTGTGTGGGAGTCAGCCTTAGGCGTGCTCCGATGAGCTAGAGGCGTTTTAAAAAGCCGCGGAACCGTTTCGCACTTGGTGGCTTCCCCCCGCGTTCTGCCGCGGTGGGAGAGGGTGGAGGGCACCTACAAAGAAACGGCCGGTGCTTTGCAGGACGGCGGAGCGAGGCAGCCGCTCCACCCGGTGACCCCCCCGGGGAAGCGAGTGCCTCGGTGCTGCCTGGGGCGCCTTGGGAGGCCGGCGTGCACGCTGCCTCCAAACTTAAGGACCACCACCGCGGCGGCCGGCCACGCGCGACTGCGTCGCCCCAGAGACGGCCCCCGGCACTAGCGAGGGTTTTGCCGTTCAGCCACCTGGACACTTTCTACCCCTAAGCATCGAGCACCACACCATGACTTACAGAAAAATGTCTTTAACTGCAGGAAGAAGATTCAGAACGTCTCAGCGCAGCATTCGCTTCAATTGTGAACTTGATGAATCAAGCCACAAAGGAATGCGAGGTGAGGTTTCACCCCCAGACCCGTGCAAAGGGGAACGTTTATGATGTGCCTGGCAGAGGCCTCTTTGCACTACTTTTGCTAAAACTGCAAAAATTAGACTTCAGTTTTGCTCACTGCATGGCAAGAGCTTAGCCAGCGAGCCTGTGGTGCTGGCCTAGATTAAGAAATTCGGGGCGTTCGCCATCATGTGGTAGGTTACAGGGTAGGTTTCACCAGTGCTATCCTGACCAGCTGGTACCACCTTAGTTGATAAACACCACTATCCATCAGCATTCTCCTAGACGGTACTACTAGACCAGTACACATTTTAGCAGAGGGTTTCTCTGCTTCTTGGTAGAAAGGCAACGTGGTTAGAGAGATAGAAATGTCAGACCACATCACAAATTACATTGTGTCAGCCACTGCGCAGGCTTCTGGCGCATCACAACGTAGAGTTTTTTCCGGTGCTGCCAGGTTACTTCTGCAGAGTGGCTTTTCAACAGAGTAACCCTTTGTTTTCATCATGCCAGCAGGAACCACTCATGCTAGCTGATGGAGTCAGTGTGTTCTGGGTGGCAGAAGTAAGGGAAAGTTTGAATCTTGAGCAAAGAGATTGCTTTGCATCACGCATTCGCTCTGAATATAGAGTTAACGTCCCCGGTATCATTTAAGGTACTTGATTTGGGGTGTTGCTACTGGATAAGGAGTGTGGGCTCAGTTCTGAGCAGCACTGTATCTTTATTTGTGATAAGCAGAAATTGAGAGGTATGGCATACAGATGCACAGCTCCACTGCTTTCATGGTGGCTCTGACTGCCATGTGTCATTACTTTTCTGGGTAGACAGACCAGGAGCCTGTCTCTGCCAGCTCATCCTTGTGAATGCAGCCCTGCAGCCCGACTACTGCATTAAAGTCTTTGAAAACTCCATCACAGTTTACATCGTCTATGCCCTTTGGGATCTGTTAGCATAATGCAGCAGGGAGCTTACTGTCCGCAGAGTTAATAACAGAGGCTAAGTCTTCAATTAAATTAGAGAAAACAGTAGTTCAACACAGACCAGATGATTAGTTCTTAAGCAACTCTTTTATCATTTCAAAGCACTACATACACAGTAACCAGGTAACCCTAAAACAACTCAGTCTTACACAAGATGAAACAAAAATATAACAGTGTATAGAGACTCATCCTATTCCCTGTTAGGAGTATCAGAGTTGGAGCAAGCAGTGGATGACTTCCATATTTATGCATCAGCCAAGACAGTACTGCTTCAGTCATCTTCTGTAGACAAGAAGAGTCATAAAAGGGTGGGGTGGGGGGAATTCTCAGACCCACAAGTTCATTACCAAAGTTTACAAAGTGCAAATAAAAATCCACAGCCCAACATAACCATTTAGGCACTTGAGTGCAAACGATTAAAACTGTGATTTAGGATGAGTTGTTTAGAGTTACTAAGGGACCAAAGTTTACCCACATTTCTTACCCCAAAAGTTTGCTTTCATTTCTTTGCTCTGTGACATCATGTAAAAGAATCCAGCTCACCTCCTGTGATACAGAAATGCTCTGTGAAGCGTTATGCAATAAAGTCAGAGTATTTGATGTATTTGGGGACGTAGCTCCACAGTAAACCACAATAGAAGCAACCAAAGCTGTTGATGTGTGCATAACCTCAAGGAATAAAACACAGCAGTAGATTTGGAAATAAGAATTGCTACTGGCCTTATTTTTGTTAAGTTTAGTCTTGACAGTCAGAGACAAGGAAAATGGAAGTGAGATAAAATAGATATTTTGGAACTTTTTGGTCCCTGTGATCAAAAAGGTAACCCTGGGAGGTGACAACAGATGGCAGCAGAGCTATACTCAAATATTTAGTTTGCAGTGGGGAAGATTCAGGTACCTTTACTGTGGAGCCAGAAAAGGGCTGCTGCAGTCTTGAATACAATTCTCAAAACCACTATGCTACTCATACCAGCCTTGAAGACACTTTAGCTTCTTCACCAGCTCATTTTTCAGTATTAAAGTGGTCTGCTTTTAGAGCACTGCTCCTGCACGTGCCGTGCAGAACCAGTCTTCACTGGCTAGGTTGCAAAGCACCTGGCTTGCATATACATCCTGTTCAGGACCCATAAACTATGCCTTTTTCTACCAGAGCTTTTCTCGAAGAGCCTGATCAGGTAGATGTTTCCAGAGCGTTCCTTCTGATATTTTCATTAATTTAGTTCTGAGGTGTCAGGGAGTCCCTACATATTGTGTTGGAAGGCAGGCATCTACAATCAGGGCTAACAGTTTTATACCAGAAGGCAGATGTCCTGTGGACATCCAGGCATTGTTTTCATCCTCACATGAGAACACACCAGCCAATTAATATAGAAGGTCAGTTTCACTTTTAATTGTAAATCTGCAGTAGTTGTGACCACAGCTTTGATGCTTCTCCACATAATATTCTCTGTTTCTACTGTTGTCCAGAAGTACTATAGCTTCATGGCAGCCTGTAGATGCAAAGAGCATGAAATCAAACACATCTGCAGATACCATGGCAGGCAAGCAGGGCAAGGAGAGCTAGAGTCCTCCCAAGAAGAGGTAAGTAGGTGGTTTTGGTTTTGATTAAAGGTTATTCCTTCCCTTGCCATGGGACACTTGTTATCCATCTCGTGTCTGTGACGCTTACAGTAATGTATGTGGTTTAACATCATGGGCATATGAACACCTGGACTGATCTAAGCCTTCTGTTGGGGGGCAGGGGAGGAGGCAGAATAGCTCCTGGTGCCACCAGTGTCACATCAGTCCTTTTGTGTAGGGGAAAATTTCATGGACATAAAGCATCCCCTCTCTCAGGGGCTCAATTTGCCTTTTGTGTTGTATCATTAGAAACATACCTTTTTCTTTCCAGAGGACGGAAGCCTCTGTAGCACTCAGTCAAGCCCAAACTTGCCAGCAACATGTAAGTTTATAGAATACTTTGTTTTTAAATCGAGGTATAGCATTTCTTTATCATCAAGCTGGTTAAAATTGGTGATCAGATGTGGAGACTTCATGATGGCACAGAAGATTAACCAGTGGTGCATTCACAGTCCTAATGTACATATAGGTAGGCAGTAGAATGAGCATACAGAGACTTGCACAATTAATTGCAAACCAAATTGTGGCATTCTGGCATATAACCAGTTAAGAGTCTACTTTATATTTTGGACTGATACAGAATGTCAAACAGTGTGATTAATCTTTAGGCTCTTGTGAATTGCATCAGCAACAATAATGCAGCATTTCTCCAGTCTCACCTCATTTGTGCTCCTGACGCATTCCCCGTGCTGAGGAAAGGCAGGCAGCAATGCACTCAGCAGTTGCTTAGCCAGTTATGTTTGGCCCTCATACAGTCTCTCTGAAGACTCCTGTTCCTCAAGGAGAAGGAAACTTTATTTTTCAAAGCCTAGCACCTCACCAAATCAATTTCGGGAACTTCTAAGCCACAAAAGATGAGAAACATGGAATCTATACCACAGTACAAGTCAGTGGGAGCACCCTTGTTGTATGGATGTTTTCCAGGTCTATGTTCAAAACCATTTAGGTTGGTAACTTTCAGTTTTGTGAAGCAGAGATTACAGCATGTTGATTATTTCCATTGATTGAAACATTAGATGAAATACTTCGAGTACGGCACTTGCTAGTTTTTGTACTGACAGAAACATTTTACAGTTTTATCCATGCTGCCTGTATATTTTGAAAAATCTTAGTACGTTTATATAGTAGCTGAAATGTAAGGGTTTTTACCCAAATTCAAAGTTTTTATTTTTGTGGGAAATCTAAGATGACTAAACAGTAATGAAACTTCCCCCCCTCCCCCCAAAGACCAGACAAGCTTCCGAAGACATCTACATTGAAGTTTCTCCTGGCACCTATTCTGTCACAGCAACCTCAGAGGACATGGTGCAACAAACCCATGTGGTGGATGTCAACGCAGGACAAAGTTATGATTTAACTTTTGTTCTATGATGTTTGTTATTTCTTGGTAATCACAGGAATAAAATACAAGGCTGTTTTAATGCATGTCATGAACTATGTATATCTTTTTCTTGTTAGCACTTTAATAGTATCCTCTCTGGGACTCCATTTTTATGGCCTGTATATTTGTTTTCTACTTAATGCAGTTATATGCAGCCCACTTTGTACACTGATTTTATAAATATTTGTACATTGTGTGCCTTAAATCCAATTATGTGACTCCTGTTCCAGGTTCTTATGCTTTAAACAATTAAGATACAATCAGTGAAATAAAATACGTAATTTAGTCTTTGTGATGACAGCTTCTTTTTTATTATCCTCAGACAGAGTGTCCATGTCACATTCTTGAGCACAGACAGCATGATCCATGTGGTATGAATATGGATGTACATTAGCTTCTGTGGGCTGGCACTGATTTTAAAGCATTTGGCTCACAATGCATCTCTCCTATCTGTACTTTTATTATTCTGATAAAGAAATAAAATGCAAATGAAATTCACTATCTATCTAGGACCCCAGCTCAGGAAGGTGCTTGAGTATGTGTCAGATGTTCAGTGTAGGCACATAAACTATCGATACTTAAAGTACTGTCTCTTTGCAGGCTCTTACCTAGGCTAAACACCAGTTAGCTGCCTTCTTCCATAGGCAGTAGGGCACCCTGAATTGTTTGCTGTTTCCTGCAGGGGAAAAGTACTGCTGAGCAACTGCACACTGCAGCTTTTGGCCAAGTTCATACACTCCAAACATGAGCAGTCCTATTAAGGAGACTCCCTGGATGCTTAACTCTCCCAAAGGATCAGATTCCACCCACAGTTAGAATTAGTGACATGACCTATATATATCTATAATCTTTTTGTAGCTGATGGGATTAAGGTTTCAGTTAATTTTCACGGGAATACAAAATTCAGTGAGTTGAATGCTGGATCTCCAAGCATTTTTGTTGTTTGTATCTACAGTAGCAGGTCCCTTACCCTCTGGCTACTTTCTCTTCTGCTTTAATCCTGAAAAAAATATTTTCAGCTGTCAGCTTGTATTGTTTCTCCATTCCTTCTGGCTTTCTACAAAAAGAAATTGCTATGCTAAATTCCTCTGGCTAACTCTAGAGAACTGTAGACAAACTGGAGGTTTGTAGAGCCTTGCTGTGCATCTGTTCAGGCTTTTAGTGCTCATACGAGATTACCTGATCTCTCTAGAACTGTAAAGTCAAGTCCAAATAATTAGGAATTTGATACAACACCTTGGAGTAAAGAATGAGGATGCTGAAATTCAATGTGGGTAGAAATAGTGTTTCTCAGTTATTAAAATCATACAGTTATCCATAAAGATATTCTATAGAGACAGTATCTAAATCAGAATTTGATTTGCTTAATAAATGTAACACTGATACAGTCTAAGCAGTTTACCTGAAATTTCAGCTCCTGAACTTCATCAGTTGTCCATTTATTGAATTGTGTTGATCATGTCTCTCTCTCTCCTTTGTTGCAAGTGAGCTCTTCGTTGTTTTTTTTGCCTGGCCTCCTCTGACATGGTCTGTATCATCAAGTTTGTTGCCTTCTGTGCAAGTCACTTTACAGTTATCATCTGACTCTGTCTTATTCCTTGCTGTTTTATATCTTTGTTTTTCTGATGCTTCAAAACCTTCTTCCTGGAGGACAGAAAACAAATCCCTTGGAAGCCTAGCCTAAAAAAAAGCATCAGTGTCTTTGTAACTGCTGCTTTCCTGGCTGTAAGATAGGTACGTCTGCCTCACGTAGCTTTAATAATGGTATCATTTCTGTGCTAGTACAAACTTTACTGCTGCAACACAGAAGTGTACAAGACCAAAGGATTTTCAGAAGCTGTTAGGCTTTGACCAAAAACTTTGCTCCTTTAGAAGTTAGGAGAATTTTTGGTGACTACAGTGGGAGAACATTAGCTCCACAGAGAGCACCTCTGGGAAGCCTGCTCTCTAGCTTCACTTGTTTGTTTCAAGTTATTTCTGATGCAGTCTGCATTATGTGATAAAACTGCTTCTCTGCAGTCTCAAGGAGTGGCAATATATATTCTGGGTTTAAAAACACCAAGGGCCATTTCACAGGAATAAAAGTATGTCATCATACTCTGTATTAACACATTGCATCCACTACTGTGATTCATGATGCCAGTTTAGGGCTAGAATGAAACCACTCTGGGTTTTTGGTTTGTTTTTTTTTAGTTTTACCAAAAGGCAAAGCATGTCACTTCAGTGCATAGCTGTGACACTTGCTAACATAGCACATGTCTGCTTGGAGCTCCATACTGGCCTAAAAATTCCTAGGAAGGCAATTACAAAGGTGTGTAATTATGATTATTTAAATAATAAAGTAGGAACCGTATAGTTAATAAGTCAGTAGGCATCTGCTTAAAATTAATGCATATAATTGTGAGAGTACAAGGTATATTCCAGTATATTCTCTGTTCACCAAGACATGTCATTAACAGATTCATCTTCTCCTAAAGAAAATCATGCAAGTTTAGCACATTCAAAGTTTTACCCTGCAGTAAGCTCACAGTAGCAAGAGCATGAAGGTACAAAGGAGCTAATATTTGATTTCCAATATATAATTTATTTATTGTACCCCTGACGCTCTTGTGCAGAGCAGTGTTTCTGTTCATCCTGCCATTCTCTTTCATGTTCCCCTTCTTCCTGCAGGCTTTTTTCTTCCTCTTTTCTGTGTGTGGTGGGTTGACCCTGGCTGAACACCAGGTGCCCACCAAAGCCACTCTATCATTCCCCTCCTCAGCTGGACAGCGGAGAGAAAATACAATTAAAAGCTCGTGGGTCAAGATAAGTACAGGGAGAGATCACTCAACCAATTACCATCATGGGCAAAACAGACTTGACTTGGGGAAATTAATTTATTACCAGTCAAATCACAGTAGGACAATGAGAAGTAAACGCAAATTTTAAAATGCTTTCCCTGGACTCCTCCCTTCTTCCCAGGCTTAACTTTACCCCCAAATTCTCTACCCCCTTCCCCTCACTGGCACAGGGGGACGGGGAATGGGGGTTGGGGTCAGTTCATCACCCGTTGTCTCTGCCGCTCCTTTCCCCTGAGGAGGGGCAGGATTCCTCACACTCTTCCTCTGCTCCAGTGTGGGGTCCCTCCCATGGGAGACAGTCCTCCACAGACTTCTCCAACATGGGTCCTTCCCATGGGCTGCAGTTGTTCACAAACTGCTCCAGCATGGGTCCCTTCCATGGGGTGCAGTCCTTCAGGCACAGCCTGCTCCAGCGTGGGTCCCCCGTGGGGTCACAAGTCCTGCCAGAAAACCTGCTCCAGCCTGCGCTCCTCTCTCCACAGATCTGCAGGTCCTGCCACGAGCCTGCTCCAGCGCGGGCTTCCCACAGGGTCACAGCCTCCTTCAGGAACCCACCTGCTCTGGCGTGGGGTCCTCCCCGGGCTGCAGGTGGAGATCTGCTCCCCCGTGGACCTCCCTGGGCTGCAGGGGGACAGCCTGCCTCACCGTGGTCTTCCCCATGGGCTGCAGGGGAATCTCTGCTCTGGTGCCTGAAGCACCTCTTCCCCCTCCTTCTTCACTGACCTGGGGGTCTGCAGGGTTCTCTTACATGTTCTCACTGCTCTCTCTGACTGCAGTTTTTTCCCCCCTTTCTTAAATCTGTTCTCCCAGAGGCACTACCACCGTCGCTGATGGGCTCGGCCTTGGCCAGCAGCAGGTCCATCTTGGAGCTGACTGGCATTGCCTTTGTCAGACACAGGGGAAGCTTCTAGCAGCTTCTCACAGAAGCCATGCCTGTAGTCCCCCCACTACCAAAACCTTGCCACGCAAACCCAATACACTGTGCTTGCTTTTTTTGGCATTCATGTTTGGATTTTTTTTTCCCCCCAAGTTTTTCTAAAGCAGGAGGAGACCATGGCCAACAGAAATCAGGCCTAAAAATCAGGGTGTCGTCTTTGTTCCTAGCTGTGACACAGTTTGCTTACTCTGTATCCCCTAGCTTAAGGGTAGGGATCTGCTGTTTAAACTGCTTGCTTCTTGTGAGGGAGTAAAAGAAGATACTCGGTAAAGACTGTTTACTAAAAAATCTGCTTGTATCTTTCAGAGATAGAGATTATGACTATCAGAGTTTGACTGGCAGAGCCCAGCACCTTTCCAAATTGAATCTTTTCTCGTGTTTTATTGCTGCTGACAGTCACATCTGTCCACTTCCAGGGCCACTCATGTAGGCCCCTACCTCCACAGGACTTCATTGGATTGATGTCAATGGGCATTTGGCAAGTTTCTGAATTGAAATCTGCATTACTGAATGCTCACACAGTTACCGGCATAATCTTTTCCACTTTACCAAGTAGCTTCAGCCCTTCCTTAGGATTTTGGGATTTTTGTTTTGTTTGAATTAGTGGAGAAGTTTCCTGCCTATCACGAAACTGGTAGATGGCCTTAGCAAGCACTTAAGTTAGAAACAATGTATTTTTCTAGCCAACTTCCAGACCATTAACAAGAATATTTCTTCCATTCAAACAAACCCCATGCTTACATAAATACAGTATTAATACAGATTACCTTACCCCAAATGGCAGCTTGAAATATTGGTCTCTTAAGATTTCTTTCATTGTGAGTTGCCCTCTGGGAGACTGCTCGATGGTTTCAAACATTGCACTCCGATGAGTTGGGGCAACATGGGACATGTTCCCAACGGAGATGGCTTTGGATTCCATCTTGTCCTTTGTACATGTGCTGCTGTGACTGCCAAGTCCTGGGAAGAAGTAAAATTGTATCTAAGAGTGAAACCAGAACTGAAATGGAAAAACACTCATTTCAGAAGAGAGGAAAATGCACTTTAAGCCTGAAAGGAATTCTTTCAGGTTATTCTGCATGGACTAGCTACGAAGATTAATGAAGATGCTAGCATCATAAAAAGAGCAGGAAAATGATGGGGAACAATCTCAGAGAGGGATATCTACGTTTCCAAATGAAATTCCTTGTTCTGGTAGTTTTGCATTGGATGGAGCTGCCAAAAGAAGAGCTAGCTTGAAAGATGAAGCAGCAGAAATGTTGGGGAGGGGGAAGTATTGTATCAGAGACTGATATGCAAATTTATAGTATTTCTATCAACAAACTACAGGAGAGGTGACTGCCCAGATGAAGGGGGGCCCAGAACATATTTTTTTCCCTCTGGCTGCTGCTTCTCTTTGAGGGTGTTAAAAGGTACCTGAATTACTGGGATGAGACTTGTGGTGGCTTCTTTTCCAGTATTTCCACTCGGGTCTTGCAGAATCCTTTAGCCTGGGCTTCTGAAGACAGCCGGAGTCTGTGTTAACAGCACCGTCCACCACAGTACTCTCAGTGGGGAACGCCTCCAGGTCCCACTCTGCATCAGAACAGGGGGAAGACACTGCCACAGCTGCTGCTGCTGCTTCTTGTTTGGGGCCTTTCAGTTCTAGAAGGCATGGAAAGGGCTCGCTGCTGGACTCTGCCTTTTCAGTTTCATTCTGAAAGACCAGAGACCTGGATGGAAGAGGCCACCAGCCATCAACATGGGGATGGCAGCAGCAGATGCACCTTACATATGCTGAAGAACAGCATATACCATCACAGTGATAGTGGAAATGTGGCCAGGAGGGTGAGCAGAGCAAGCAGTGCTTGGCAAGGCTACATACAGCACAAACAGGAACCAGGGCTGTTTTGGGACTGCAGGAAAAAATACAAGAGTTAGCGTCCAGACTTTGTTTGGGCTTCACCCTGCTGGTGAAGGGCATGTGGATCATCTCTACAATCCTCTCCCACAGGCTAGGAGGGATCCACAGAGCCACACCTCGCGGGAGTTTCACTTTCTTGTCATTCCAGAAATGGACCATAATTTCTTCATCTTCTGAGGCTGTTGAGAGAAAAGGTAAGGAGCCATAAGCAGCTGGCCTGGGCAGTGCACATAAACAGATCACACTTTGCAGCTTTATGCACTTTCTACTCCTGTCAAGCGGTAGGATCAACAATCACCCCTCTCCTTAACACCTCACCTTCATGTCATGGAGGGTGGAGTGGGCAGCTAGGGCACCATGAGTGTGACAACAGGCCTGGAAGCATCTTTCCTCCCAATTTGTCATCAGACGAACAAGAAAATGTTGACTGAGTAACTTTTGTTGTTACTGCCAAAGTTAGCAGTAATGGTCTCAGAACAGTATTTTGATAAGTCAGTGGAGCTTGACTGTCAGACATGGGAAAAATGAATGAGCTGTTGAAATCTCCTATGTTTGGGTGATAAAATCACCCCCAGATGTACCATTCAGTACAAATGTGAGCATTCAAGCACAGATGGGTGCTTCCTGAGAGCTGCCTCACTTGTATCCTTCATGAAAAGGCCACCGTCTTTCACGTGGCAGACACAGCCTTGTCCGAGCAGACAGGAAATAGCATAGCCACAGACGCTGAACATGACATTTTTATGGGTCACAACTTCCTTCGGGTCAGACTGGTGAGGTTACACGCAGATATCCATCAGTGTCCTGGTTTCGGCTGGGATAAAGTTAATTTTCTTTCTAGTAGCTGGTATAATGTTATGGTTTGGGTTCAGTATGAGAAAAATGTTGGTAACACACTGATGTTTTCAGTTGTTGCTAAGTAGCATTTAGACTAAGTCAAGGAATTTTCAGCTTCTCATGCCCAGCCAGCGAGAAGGCTGGAGGGGCACAAGAAGCTGGGAGGGGACACAGTCAGGACAGCTGACCCAAACTGGCCAAAGGGATATTCCATACCATGTGACGTCATGCCCAGTATATAAACTGGGGGGAGTTGCCCTGGGGGGTGCAGATCGCTGCTCGGGAACTAACTGGGCATCGGTCAGCATGTGGTAAGCAACTGCATTGTGCATCACTTGTTTTGTATATTGCAATTCTTTTATTATTATTGTCATCTTATTATTGTTATCATTATTATTTTCTTCCTTTCTGTTCTATTAAACCATTCTTATCTCAACCCACAAGTTTTACTTTTTTCCCAATTCTCTCCCCCATCCCACTGGGAGGGGGGGAGCGAGCGAGCAAGCGGCTGTGTGGTGCGTAGCTGCTGGCTGGGGTTAAACCACGACAATCAGCAAGTCCCATCAGCTCCTGCAAGCTTTAAGCAATGCTAAACTATAGTCTGTGCACTGGTGTTTCTCTGGCAGTAGCACCGCAACAAGCGTTTATCCTGATAGTCTCATTCATGTTCCAGAGCAAGGCGAGGAAGAAGGCAGCAGCATCTTTCTTACCTCTTAAGGGGTCTCTCATCTCAATGCCCGTGAGGACAGTTCCTGGTCCATATCTAGCCATATCTGGCTCCCAGGGTGCCAGCACTTTGTCTCCAGGGAGTAAGGAGTGCTTCATTCTGTTCACGTATTCCAGGATGTCATCCTTTGCTGTTCTTTGCACACACACTGGATGCCTTCCATGTGACATATGTGGTTTGGCAAACTCTACCAGGAACGTGCCTCTTTCACTCTGTTACCAGGAACAAAATAATAGTTCCTCTGAAAAGCAGTCCATAATGTGTCAGGTCATATAACCTTCACCAGGAGGCCATTCTGTGGCTATGTGGCTAGGTCAAAACTCCACGCAAGCCTGAAAGGTAACTAAATAGTGTGCGGTGTCAGTCTGGCATTGAGACAGCCAGCAAAACCTCCGTGAGGCTCACCAGAAAGCAGTCTGAGTGAACCATATGTACAGATTCACTGCTGCTAGGACCTGTATTTTCTTCCCCAAGAGAAAAAGCTATAGATAGACTGCAACTGGATTTCACAAACCATGCCATGTGCACCAGATAACAAGGGACACTGAAGCCATTCAGACCTGTTCTTCAGTCATGCCCAAGTCCTTCCTCATTACATACCACACTAACACTGCTTCTTGGGGGGGTTGTTAGGAATTTTTGTTTTCTTTTAAATCAAGGCCTGTCAAGAGGCTTTTCATCAACAACGAAATAAGGTACTTCCCTGTTCTTGAGAAAGAATAGGCTCTTTTTTCTGCTAAGTTTGAAGTGCTAACAAACTAATGAATTAAAGCTTTCACTAACATTTCTGAAAAGACACCGAGCCACTGGTCTGTAGCTGACTCAAGCTGGAAGTGTGTACATAAAACACTAATGCTTTTCCTGTGCTATTGATGGTTATGTGTCTACACACAACAGTAGCCGGTACACTGCTCACAGCAGCACTCACGCTGCCTGAGCCTGGCTCAACGCCCAGCGCCAGCAGAAGCAGAGGGCCTGCTGTTGCAAGGTGCACAACACCACTGCTGGAACTGGGAGTTTGGGGGGCACCCATCTTCTGCACAAGATGAGGATCCCCGAAGCACATCTGCTCACTCCTAGAAATGGACTCAGTAAAGGAGGCTGAGCAGAGCAAGGATCTGATCATTATTAGTTTATTGGTGCCTGAGGCTGTGCTGCATGCAAGAGGCTCACCCAGTATATCAGGCAGCAGGAGGTGAGGACAGCCTGGAATCAGGCACGTCAGGAGCTTTATGAATCGACATAACCACGAGCATCAGCTGTCCTGGTGATCTCTAATTCATGCACCAGCTGAATCAAAACTGCTACACTAAACTCAGATGGTGCATGAGGACTGCTGGTGGACTGGACACCCATCCTATTACCCATATCCATGACTACCACACAGCAACTGTCACTCACCTTTATCTCCTCTTTTACTGTACCACGGTAATAAAATCCATCTGTTTCCCCTCTCACCAGCACAGGGACATTGCTGTCTAAGCTCACTGATCTCCCCAATGTGCTCAGCTTCTTCCATGCTGGGCCAGGGGAGGGGAGGCAGTAGCTAATCCATTGGCACCTTGAAAAAAAAGAAAATGGGTCAGCACTGGGAGAAACAGCTTCTGTAGGTCATGGGGAAAAAAAAAATCCTGTAAGGTTTAAGAACTGGATCACTCCACCTCATTTTGTAGCACTCCCACAGGCCAAAGCATGTGGGAAGAAACAGAAAACTTGCCTGTGCAGGGACAATTCCTTGCTCTTGGGGAAAAAAAAAAACCACAAACAAAAACAAAAACAAAAAATCAGTGCCTGGTTTTACCCAGATTTCTTGGTTTGGGGTTTAGAGGAAGTAAGGCAGGAGTACACTGGAATCCTGGGCCAGCACTAGCCACACTAGCCCCTTTGGTGTTTACATGGCAAGCCACCACAACCTTCAGATCAGGAGAACAAATCCACCTCCAGCACAGAGCACAGCGCAAGTGCACTCAAGGGCGCTGTAGCTGACGGTTTACACTGGGGCATTCAGGGAAAAGAAAAGTAGAAAAGTAAACAACAAAGCTGCTGGTTGATGACAGGTTCAAGTTCAAAACAGGAAAAATAATGCCCTGTCATAAAGCATTAGAAACATTTCATAGAAGATGGCTGCTAACGCAAGATGCTTTTATTTATCCAAATAATATTAGAGGAATGTTTCTTTGATAGGAGGTTTACTCAGGCTTTGCTTTTCATAATCTCCAAGGTAGCAAATCACTTTAGTTAATACAATCTAAAAAACTGCCAGTGCAGGGGAGAAGAAAGCTCAAATGATGTTCAAGCTGCTAATTTATTAATCTGACACACCAGCCTGTTTTATCCTATTAGGTATCATGAAAAAGAACAAATCACAGACTCAAACAAGAACTTGATTTTACCTCTGGGGGGTGAGGGGCTCAGTGATGTGGGTGGGATGCACTACAAAAGAGCTCCTGCAGCAGGGGTTGACAGTAGGTACGACACTGCAGCACGAGTACTTGTCCAGAGCTGGCATCGCACTGCAATACCTGTGACCCGTAGGCAGGAACCCTCCCGAACAAGCCATTCTTGCAAAAGGAGCTAACTGCGGGACTCAGTCATGATCTGCTGGTAGAAAAGAGACAATGTACTGGTATTTTCCAACACAAGCAACTGCTGTCCATTGTACATCAAGAACTCAGTAGCTTTTATTAGTTGTTTGTTTTTATTTAAAAAGAATAAACTCAAAATATCCAGACTGGCATTTGGTCAGATGAACCCACATCACTGACTTCTGTGATCTTCAGTCACCCAAATCCCAACCTGGTAGAGGGACAGAAACACCCAAGGAAACTAGAAATGCTGTGAAAATCCCCAGGAAAGCAATAGCTTTCATCTCCCTCCAACCTTTGTTTCCCTCTGTAACATCCAGCCCCCTTTTCTTATACCTACACTCTCTTTTAAATCTTTCTTGTGCACAGTCCCAGCCAAACCGTCTCTATTCTACAAGCTGAGACAGAAACTACAGCTGAAGTTGACAAGCTCAGTAAACGTGTAAGTTTTTGAACATGATGTTAGATTACAGTTGCCTGTTACTTGTTTTATTTATAGTGATGTATTAAGACATATTTTTATCTTTCAGCTGTCCTGTCATGTTTTATAACAGCAGGATTATGGCTTGCCATGAGAAGGAATGAAATGCTCAGATTTGACAAGTGATAACTATTCAGAGGCTGTCACAGTAAGATTGATGATGTGATGCTATCTCTGGTAGTCTGACAAGATGCAGTAGACAAGCTTCCATGCCCCCTTTTTTTAAAATATTGGTTAGAAGCGTTTAGCATGCTTGGGGTAAATTTGCATGGAAATTCAACAACATATAAATTTTCAGTGCCTAATTTACTTTACAAAATACAGTTTAAGCACTCGTATTATGTTTAAAATGTTATTTTGTCTCTTATCTGAGAGGTACGATCTGGGAGTACTTTTTATGAGACTCCCAGACATACATAATTTCAGAAAACTAGCACACCAAACCCAGCAAGAAGAGTGGATTAACTGCTGCAAAATGCATCTTTAAGTCAGCAAATCAACACAATATATTCACTTGTTTCACAACTACATAAACTCCCCTATTATAAACCAAACCAAGATGGAATCAGTAGTACTTTGCAAAGAAATGCATCAATTCTACATTAAAGCACATTTTAATCCCATTCAGTGCTGTTACTGCTGAGAGCCAGGTCCCCTATTTTGGTATAAAATGCGGCACTGACAAAGGCAATTGCGCAACACTCAGATTTTTTTTTTTTTCTGAATAACTCCCAAGTACTTTGACACAGCAGTGTTTCAAACTTACCAGCTATTGATAACACTACCTCTGGTCGATTTGGATTTAGTCCCAATGCAGAAATCTTGCCCTTTTGGCTGTTTGACACGGGAAGCCATTTGCTGCCAGTGTTTCCTAGTTGCTACGGAGGTTGCCACAGTTGTTACTACCAGGATAGGACATCCTGACCTTACCAGTTAAAAACCAGTGGAATGTGACTAGAGAGGAGCATTTGTCTGCCACGCATCCACTCAATTTTTAACTCCCCATTGATCTAGATATTGCACTGAAAGACTGCAGGGGCAAAGAAGGAATTATAAGAGGGCACAGTGTCCTCTAGGCTTTCTGCCTACTATTGCAGGACACGAAATAGCATCACACAAAGCTACAGTTCAGATTTAGAAAAAAAAAAGCCCACCACCACAGGGTGTGACACATAGATCAGTCTGAAATGTGGACAGAAATGTTGAAGCCGAGACAAACTGAGATCGAATCACTTTACAAACTTTCCCTTTTCACAGTAAAAGAGAAAAATAATGAATTGTATCCTCTTCTTGCAAAGTGCATATCAAAAACATGCCAGAATACAATGCAGAAATCTGCCTGGTAATCTCTGCTGTGATTCCTAATCTTCATTTTCTCCTTAACAAATGTTAACTCTCTTTTTTTTTTTTTTTTTTTTTTTTGGGGGGGGGGGGGCAGGAATAATACTTAACTGCATTTTGTAGGCATTTTTCAATTCACTGCTACCAAAACAAGGTAACAGAGGGGATGATTGCAAGTAGGGACAAGGATACAGCACTTCAGAAGTCTGTAACCATTTTCTGTCCGTTCTGCTGCACCCAGACTACCACTCTCATGCTGTCAGCAGAACTGTTGTTTCATATCAAAAATACAATTCCCTTGCATACAGCAAATGTCAAGAACACTCTGCCAGTTATGAGCTAAGCTCTCTTCAGCACCTTCACATAAATTTATTCTATACCACTTCGTTAAAACCATCAACAGTACAGAGGAACAGACTGGGAGGTCAGGGAAGACAACACCACACCTCAACCATTATCAGTGAAAGTCCTGAAAAATATCTGTCACAGGATTTCTTTTTTTTTCCCCCCAAGGCTATGAACTTGCCAACTCTCTTTATACTGTGTGTTGTGTGAGCAGTCCTAGTAATTTTTAAGGGCATCAACAGCTGAAGATGAATCCAATTTTCAACAGAAATTAGGCTAAGTCAACAGTTTTTAAAGGGATTAAAATATTCACTAATCAGAAAAGGATGGAACAGCACTTGCAAGACATATGCTTTTCCTATGTTCAGTAACCGTGCTTCAGAGAGCCACTACCCTCCTCTTTTTATTTTCCCCCTTTTAAACCAAGTTATCCTTTCTGTTGGCATCTAACAACATTCCTGGGAAACTTTTAAAAGGCCTTTTAAGAGAAACACTGTCAATTAGACCAAAAAACTTTTAAGAAAGTGCATGTGAGAGTAAACCAGTAACATTACAGAAAATGAGAGGAATCTCAGTCCCATCAGTGGAAAGAATTTATTTTAAAGCATGCAGGTTGTGATGATACATACAACTACTTTACACGTATAGGTATTACATTTTTTGTTTGGTGACAATTTTAGAAATGTTTTCTGATTTCCATGAATTAACTAAAGCCACTCAGATGATATTTCCCCAGTTGCTTTTTTCATATCTAAGTGTAGTTACTATCTGCAAAATTAGAATTCTTTTCTGTGGGCTGATAGCCTCACGTGCTATGATCTGCTCCTAAGGAACCTGCCAGGAACATGCACATCATTAATAATATAGTGGCTACTAGGTTCCCAGACGGGATACCTTTTGCTTGGTTTGAAACAGTTTAGATCGTCTTCAAAAACTGGTTTTGTTTGTTAATTGCTTTAGGTGTTTGGCCTAGCTCCATGACATTTTTTTCTGCCACCACAGAATCATTGTACAGAACAGACTGTAGGTAGCTAATGTATTTTATTGCAGCACGGAGTGTCTCTACTTTGCTGAGGCGTTTTTCCAAGTATTCCTTAGGTAGGTGATGCCTCAGTTTAGCATAGCCTTCATTGACACATTTAACCCTCTGTCTTTCCCTCTCATTCCTCTTTCTGATGAAAGCTGGTCCATAGGAGTACTCACTTCTGCAGTAATTGGAATGGGGCATTTGGTAGGGAAACGTGCAGGGCTCATTGTAGAAGTTCTCTGCAATGAGATGCTCAGACATGAAAGGAAGGGATGACAAATCTTCAGAGCAAGTGACCTGGTTTGGTGTTTCTGGGTACACATGAAACATGACCACTGGGTCAGCACAGAAAGGCTTAGCCAGCTGTATGCGCTGAGTCTCAGTACAGATGGATAACTTGTCCATGAGGTTACAGTAGCTTTTGCCATCCATCAGGTTCTGCATTTAACCTGGAAACGCATAATTACATAACAGTTTAAACAACTTGTACTGAACAGTAGAAAAAAAAACCTCACCTGGACTTATCAACGCTTGGCACTACTAGCATTTTCCAGAAGAGATATTTAATGCATTTGTGACATTTCAGAATGGTGTTGAAAGATCACTGCATAGAGCAGACAATGTCCCATTTGAAAATACAAGAAAGTGCAAGTCAGCAACACTGATTAAAATAATTCACAACAGACTTTAAGAAAATAAAGCCACTAAAGCTTCCTAAAGGAAACAGCAGTTTCCTTTCACCTCAGCTTTAGAAATGAAGATAATCTACCTTTATGTACTCCACATAGGTCTAGCTTGCTCCAAATCCACCAAAACTTACATCTCTAGAGAGAATAAACAAAGCAGGCCAACATCTGCGGCATTCTCTCCACCCCTTTCCCCTCCCTGGGGAAAAAAAAAAAAATATCTACAATTCCTGTAGCATACTCCCTATCCATACCAAAAAGCCTTCCAAGATGAATTATTTTTTCTCTATTCATTTGATGTCTCATCTGCTATAGTATCTTAATTAGATGGAAAACCTGTGCAGGGAATGGATCTCAGTCTTAATTTTATATGTCAGGTATTACATCCATTCTACATAAAAAGGTTTACAAGAAATTTAAAGGATGAATTTCTGCTAAACCTAACATCTCCTTGGGTCCTCATGCTCCTTCTGCACTCACCTGCAGATTAAACACAGGTATGAAATACTAAATACAGTCCTACTGATCGAGGATTATGAAATAATCGATTTAGTAAAGAAAAAATGCATGTCCTAATAATATTGTTCCAATTTTAAAGTATTTTACTAAGAAGGGACTGCACACAGCCTTTGGGGCACTGCTAGAAACCTGTAACTCAGACTGGCCTACTAAAACCACATACCCTCTCTTCAGGGCAGCATTACAGCAGGTGTAACTACTCAAATCACCCCTATATATTTACTAGAAAGATAATCTTGCAGTGTTTTATAGAAAGCCACATTATAGCGCCTTCCCAATATCATTATTCAAAGAGCTAAATATCAGCATAACTGTAATGATTGTTACCTAATAGCTACTCAAAAATAAATTTTAAATAACTAGTTAATTTCTAAAGAACTACTGTGATCCACCCTCACAGATTGCAAGCTATACTTGCCTACACAGAATCTATCAAAAAACATTCTTACTCACCATCCACTTCCACATCTATATATTGCTGTCTAAAACACTTAGGTTATTGCACCCTCTAAAAAGGAAAACACACCTGAACATTAAACTAGGTTACTATAAACATCTAGATTCCATACTTGCAAAAACCTCACAAAGCTTCCAATGTTCTGACCACGGTTCCATAACATAAAGGGGATCCCCTTAATCCTTCACAAGGATATGGGGATATTTCGATGTTTTCTAATGAATTCATACCTGCCACGTTTAATACAGAAAGAATTTTTACTCAGTATGGACCTATCCTCACAACACATTCTATCAAAATGCCTCTGTATTCAGCATTGTCCCTTTTTCTAATGCACATAGATCTCACAACAGAAATCCTACGAGTTAGGAATTCTTTTAGAGCACACTGTTAGACAACAGAGAAAGTCACATGCATCTTGAACAGGTACTTCTGTAGGTAGGCTGAAAGCATGAACGCACATCCATTTTACATTAATATACACGCAGAAAAATCAGAGGTGAATATATACACTCATAAAATTAAACTAGTAGACAGTCATCTTTCCCTTTTCTACTTAAACAGGTTAGGTTATTGTCTAAAAACTTTCTACTACTAACAACTTTAAAACATTGTCTGAGGAACAAAGTCTGTTATATAGCAAAAAAACTTTATAGCAAAACATCACTATAGAGCAAGAAACCAAAACCAACACAGCCCCTCAAGAAAAGATACTTGCCATATTTGTTGCTTAGTACTGACACTTCTGCTGCATAACAGCAGTACATAAAACAGTTATCTGCTGTGTTACTACCTGCACAAAGTTCAAAATGGAAGTGTTAGGATAGTTTTCCTTTTAGACTAGACTCACCAATCTTCAGATGAAAGTAAAATCCAAGGAAACAAGACGTGCTATTTTAAGACTGATGAATAATACCTGAAAATATCTGAATGATATTAAAAAAAGAAGTTAATGTTCCATTTTTCTTAAACCTTATTTAAGAAGAGATCATATTAAATACAATTCGATAAAAAGCTACAGAGGCATTGTTAATGAATAGCTGGTAGAAGTGATTTACAAAACCAGTAATATTCAGTGAAGATCTGTTGCTAGATACAGCAATAGGCAAGTCTCTTACCTGAATTATGTAGCTTGTTCCGCTGAGTCAATGACTGCTGCAATTTATAGTTAACTGACAACATGCAAAGTAGCTTACAGTTAGATCTGCTCATTTCTGGTTTGGCTTTTCCACCCACACCACAACTATGATGGCAACAAAACTTGGCATAAAGGGCTAGAAATTTTAAAACTGTATTGAACACAACCAGATTGCCTGAAAAAGTAATCAGGAATGTACTTGGTTTACTTCCTGTATGTATTCTGCTACAGTTTACTAAAGCAGTATTTTCATTTATTGGCATTTCATACTTTAATGTCTAAATATAACAATTAGCTAGAATTTAGTTAAATATTTACCATCAAGGCAGAAGCAAACTAATTTTCATAGCTTCATTTTAAACACAGAAATTCAGCATTTATTTAGAAGAAACTTGTGATGAATTTGTCTCCAGATTACAGGCGAGGACACACATTAGTTAGCTTAATACCCTCAAATATAATCTTCATTATACTTGCAATTTTGGGAAATTCCCTTAGTGTTAAGTAGTATAACACCATATAAAAGGTTTCTAATAAAGCATTTATGGAGGTAGAAAAGATTTCAAAACAGTGAGCAATCAGTAGCAAGACAAATGTTTTGCAGTTTTGCTTAAACTTAGAAACAACAGTATGGAGCAATCAGTCTGTATAATCAAATATATATAGGTATATAGATGCTACATATATCAATATATAGCTGTCCAATTGTACAGGTGCAAGGGAATACGACACCTAACTTCAAAACTCCCACATTCTTCCATTACCTTGACACTTTAGATTATCTCACTATTTGGCCTTCCTATTGATCAAAGTAAAACCACACAAAAAAATCCAAAACCAAACCAGTTTAGCTTAAAACTTTTAGAAGATACTGTAAGATTAGAAACACTTAAGCTACTACCAAGAGAGCTACATACACCCGGTCCTGTCTTCCTGGGACTGTCAGCCTTCAAAGAAAGCATTCTGCTTCTGCTGCCCTTGCGTGGGGCCACAACGATGCCGTTTTCTGCATCCTCCTTCCCATGCAAGCTTCAGGCCTCATCAGAAAGGTAGTCAAGAGGTAGAAGATCTACTAGAGCTGGTAGACAAGCATGCATTCAACAAAAAAGTTACAGTATTTTTCTTTAGGGGACCCTAGGTACATCACTGTCATAACCAGTTATTGACTCATCAGGGTGGGATGTTGAACACCATAACTGAACCCAAGTCTGAATTTTTTTTTTTTTTTTTTTTTTTTTTAAAGAAAGAATCCTGTGCCTCCACCAATTAGCCACCCATTATAATTCCCTCCAGATTAACTCAGTTTTTGGAAGGCTACAGGACTGACTGCTCCGTATCTGCAGAAGAGCTGCAGTCAGTGCAAATGTTGTTATGGGGCAACTATGTTTACACTCCTGATGTGGCAGAGCTATGCATCCAGGTACAGTTCATTTCCCACACTACTCTGTCCCCCAGGCTGTGGACTAAGCAAGCCAAAACTGCACCCAGCAACATATAGCACTGTTCCACGTACCATTTCCTTCCGCGTTGGAAATGAAAACTGTGTAAGACAATAATGTAACTACATATGCATAGCTAAATTTGAGTCAGGGATTAAAAACTTTTTTCAATTAGCAATTTGGTTAGCCTTTCTTTCCTTTCCCTAAGCACTAACAAGTGCATATTTCTACTCTGAAGCATTTTCAGAGAAGTGCTTTTATAGATGGATTTCACAATGCAGGGTAATGAGGGAGAAAAATGATGATATACAGATAATGCAAATCCATGTTTCAAAAATCAGTTTTATCTTTAATTTTTACATTCCAAAGGCAATATACGAAAGTTAGTCATCTAGCAACCGTATACCTCTTAAGAGAGATGAGTACAGAATCACAGATAAAAAAATACACCTAACTCCCAAGATGACAGGTGCTAGAGAAAGTATGTGCCTTACACCATCAATCCAGACAAATGCAGAAAGATTTTTATAATAAATATTTCATCATATACTAACTCCTGAGACTTTACCCATGAAGAGAAAGGGAAAAAGATTTTTTTTTAAAGAGATATCATACACATACAATATATTAAGCTATTAAAGCAAAATAGAACAAAATGCCAACACCATCTTGATATGCACTGCATTTGAGTTATCTACATCACAGTACTTTAAGTATGCAGCTGAAAGAGTCAGTGTCCATTTAAGCTTTGCCTTAAATCTGCAAAGATCACTTGACATACAAGCATCTTGGAAGTACGAGTGCAAGAAACCAAATGATGAATACAGTCAACCAGGATTTCATTCCCCGACGTGAAACTACACTGCATGATTTACATTTCCAGTACCTAGCATTAGTCAGCAGAAAATCCAAGTATATTTACAAAAGGTCTTTACATAAAGTGATTAGTGAGTTGTAATTACTGTGTTCCCAGGTACTTTTTAACCACATAAATAGTAGAGAGAAATATATAGTTAAAAACCACCATAAAGTCACAACTGTAAATAAGGTACCACAGTGGCAACCCAAGATATCTTAGAGTTTGTTTTCTTTTCAGTTTTGTTAGTAAAAGCCATTTGAAAATGTAAAGATTTTAGCTTTTGGTTAACTAACCTTTTTAAGTTGCTTCCACTCCAGTACATTCCTTCAAAGTTCAAATAATTTTTTCTTTATTTTTTTTAAATCAATAACAAACCATTCAAGAAAACCCTTCTGAATTGGCAGGATCAGGAAGACGCAAGTCAGCTCTTTCAATTAGTCCACTTTACTTCCCTGGAGTTGTTTTACTGAGACACAATTAACTCAGCACAACATGACGGTCAAAGACAGATTTGCGTTGCTCTTGGACCTGTAACTTCCAACGCTGCTGCGCATACTCCACTTTGTTCAATACATTGGCGCGGCTCCGAGAACGAGCCAGCACATCATGTGCATTTGCAAAAGGCTGGTGATCCTGGAACGCCAAAAATCATTAGTTAGATCTCAACTCCACCAAGCAATTACAGTAGCCTTTTTTGTTGTTACATTCCAAAGGATGCGGGGGTTTTGGGGGGGTTGGGGGGATGGTTGGTTTTTAAGGTAAACAAGCTGTTTCAATGAGCTGGTCAGAATTATGACCAAGTAAGTTTTTGAATAGTTAGAACTGTACTTCAGTTTCTCATTCAAAGTAACTTCCACAGGTTTCCCAAATAGACCAAACTTCATTGTACTGTCAAACAATTATCTGCTGCCCAGACATCATGGTGAGCTGTAAGATCAGAACCACAGTCTTGCATCCATTAGCAGCTGATGGGACAGAAGCCTAGAACAGAACCAGGCACTGGGAGCCTCCTGTTATTGTCATGAATGCACTTCACTTTAAAACTGAATTAAAGAGCCAGTTCTCTGCCAGCTCATAGCCATTTACCATCAGGCAGTTCAGGATGTTCACACCCAGCTTCTATATAAAACCAACATACTCTGATGTTTACCAAACTAAACCTATTGTACTGAGCTGTCTAAAAGCAAAGTGTCAATACAGCTGTCTAAGTGACAGAGCTCAACAATAACTGAGTGCTTGTTTAATATTTACTCTGTTTTCTAATAGTACCTGCAAAGCTTTATTTTTGTCTAGTAAATATAACCAAATTATAAACAGTAGGAGTTGGAACTGAACTTTCTATTTGGCTATCAAACTGTTTTGGACAAAGTCATGTTGCTAGAGCTATGGCAGAAAGCATCATATATACAATGCATAATGAAAAAAAACATAATTATGTCCTGTATTAAATAACCATATTTTTGCATGTCTACACTTCATGTTCCCTTTCTGTTGCCCCCAGAACACTTTTGAAGACATTTATATTAATGGATACCTTATTTGTGACATGACTGTGTAGAGTAGCTCAACAATAATTCTTAGTAGTACAGAGATTATCATTAATGATACCCAGTGTAGGGATGCCTACAAGTCCCAAAGCCACACGTGAGCCTCATTGGGCTAAGAAATATGCTAATAGCGAACAAGAGACAATGTCCGACCCAAATAGCTATAATCTCACTATAAAGAATTATGCAGTTGGATATACCTAGAATGGAAAGTTAACAGGTGACAAATCACTTAATTCAGAAGGAAACAAAATCACACCAGCAACACATTTCTACCATAAAATATATGCTGGAAGGGACAGCACAGGACAAGCTAGATGGTACTGGCTTTCCTGATAAACAACAATCTCAGCTCAAAGGTCAGCTACTGCCAATTTCTATGCAGACAACATGGGGAAAAAAGAATTTAAGAGGAAAGAGGTCTACAGAAGCAGCTTACGTTCATGACTTGTCACTGCCATCAATGGGCAACGAGAAAGAACAAACTTACTGGCTTGAAATTCAGCAACAAAATCAATGCATATGGTATTTCCAAACTGCGACAAGGATCAATACCTCAAGAACTTGCAAGAGGGAAGGCAAGGATGGAGATAAGCCATGAGAGACCTTAAATAATTTCATGTTCACTGTCACAGAAGGAACATAAATGGGAAAGGAGCAACATGAACTAAGCAATGACCTAAAATGCATTTTGTTCCAAGCAGTACTGCAGCTATAAGCACTAGTGACTCCACCAGCACAAGTAAGGGTCACAGTAACAGTTACAGCAAAACATGAAATTGGTTAAGATGGATCCAGAATTTAAGGTAAATTCATTCCGCAGTTAACTTGAGCTCTGCCATGGGACTTATTTCACTTCTTCCACCTACAATCAGAAGATTCTAACCCAGATTTGAGTTTATATAATTTATATAAGGTATAAAATAAATATCATTTGTCTGAGGTATAGCATACAGCACAAGTTCATTTAATTCAAGTAGGAAACTGCCCCATTTGCTATAAGAATGTAGCCAGAACAAGGGTCATTCAAATCCCTCCTTTCAAAAACAAGACAAAACAACCACTCACCAATAGCCTCCTGGAACTGTCTGGCAAAGTCTTAAGATGTCAATACAAAGACATTTGGAATATGACTTAGTGTAATACACAAGGAAGTGCAGAAACAGCGGGACACAATAGCAATAGTATACCTCTGTCTGAAGAGCCTTCATTCCAGACAATGTTAACTCAAACTTGGGTAACGATCAAATATTTTTGTTGTGAAGTCAAGGTAAATAAAGAATGCACAACTCATAAAAAGTATTATCTAAGAAAATGCTTGATTTTGAAAACTTAATATACCCCCCTGCAGAACAGAAACACCTTTTTAAGTCAAGGTGGCTGATGTGGTCACTATTGACGAAAAAAACAGTAGAACTAAAGAATATGCTTTTCCTCAGTTTACTAGCAATGACAGTTGTCACACCAAAAAAACCCTGGAGAAACTGAGTGCAAGTCACATTAAAATCTGCAGATACAGAGCATAACAGAGCATAGCATTTACCCCTTCTGATACCTTCAGATCTATGAAGCCACTGAAGCAACAGGTAGTCAGAACTACAGGGCTTCTAAACAGATTTTAAAAGTGTTGCCATCATAATTTTGTTTCACCAAGAACAAACTTCTTTATTTCTTCCTGTTAACCTCCTATTTATTTGAAGGAATGGTGAATATATTCTTAATGATTCTATTGTAAGACATTCATGTTGTAAATCTTTTTGACTAGCTCTCATTTACTTCAACAGTAATAAAGTGCTCATGTCTGCTGAAATGCTTAGGTTAAGCAGATGGCAATCCTCCTGTTTCATACTCTGGGTTTGGCTTCAGAAATTCTTTCTAAGGTTATGCCACACCTGAAGCATACTTTATCGGTAAAAGCAACACTGCTTGAGGGCTCAATATAGAAAGCACATTGATGCTGAGATTTCAGAATTGTTTTATCAGTTTGTGTGGTTCAACACTGACACTTTACCACCAATCCAGCTGCTACTTCAGCAAACTTTCCTCACATTACTTTATAGCGATACTTCTCCGAGGCATGCAGATTCATCAGTTCAGATGCACACAGATTCATCAGATGCAGAGCCATAGTCCGTATTTTTATACTATTCTAAGTCCTCCTTCAATAAACAGATTACTTACTCCCACCAACCAGTACTCCTTATCCACGCTCATCAGGTACTAAAGTGTCTCACTCTTTCCAATACAAGGTTCTGTAAGGTCTTACATTCCCTTCCTGTAATGGTACTGAAGACACTTTTTATTAGAAGTCAAAAACACTGTTGGAGATTGGGAAGGCCAGTAATGACAGGAAACCAAGTCACTAACGGACTACTCCCCTTTTCCTCCCAGAAAAGGCTGTTCTGATCCGTTGGAATATACTATCACATTCTGGTTTCTAGCTGTAATACTCAGAAATTATTTCAGCATCAATCACTATTTTACTTAATTATAATAATTTCTTCTTGAACTTTTAGCATCAACAAATTCAAATTGGAGCAATAGAAGATGCAACCCCTCTACTTCCTTTTTGCAGACAGAAATCTAAGCAGTAAACAATCTGCATAAATGTAGTCACTAGTAAGACTGTATGGACCATTAACACTTAAGAAGCTGTACCTCCTATATATGTGTACCTCCATTCCTACTTTGTTTCTTCTCTGAGAAAATAAACTATGTCTAGAGCCGGAATAACTGAAGCAGTCCTCATCCTACTACTTTGTAGCCCAGCAAAAAATGAAAGAGTGGCTTCGCAGAAGTCATTCACAGCTTTACTTTCCT